TCTGCTTCAGCTTCCTCGATCTCATTGGTGTTTTCTTCTTGTAATGGTGGTTCTTCTCCAGCGATTATTCGTCCTCGAGGTGTAACTTTGATAACAGCTAACCAGTTTATTCCCGAGGTAGTAATCCGAGGGTATGGAATGAAGCAAACTTGATCTGCTTGGGAAGCTAATATGAAAGGCTCGAACTTGTTGTACCTACAAAAATAAAGATCAATGTGAAAATTAATTAATACTCGAAACCTGGATCGTCTTCTCCATGTTGATACCAAATATAATAATATGGCATGAAACCTCTACTTATTAAATGCTTCCAAACATTTTCACGAAGGCCTAATTTTGTATAGCAGCATTTCCGACAAGGACAGAACATCTTACCACTTTCCTGCGTGAGTGGTGTAGAATCTGCTTGATGCATAAACGTCTCCAACCCTTCGAGAAATTCTTTCATCACCCTCCCGTTATTATCTCTGTGTGAATACATCCACTTCCGCAACTCGAAAATATTTCCCGGACCGCATATTTTTTGTGTTTGATCAAGCTTATAGCTGATTATTTTTTGGTGTGTTTCAAATGAATCACAATTGTGGTATTTATAGAAATTTTCGAATCTGAGCATTTACTAGGAAATTGCTAGGAAATGTAGGTACAAAACACGTTTTTGATTTAAATTCGATATTTTCTATCCAATTCCTTCTAATTTCGTAGTAACAAATCTATTCCTCTTAATTTCGTAGTAAGGCTTTACTAGGACTTTACGAGAAAACTTCTTACTACGGGCTTACGAGAAAATGGACTTTGCCACGTAATTTCCTCGTAAGCTTACTACGGTGTTACGAGGAAACCTGTTTCTCGTAGCTGTACGAGGACCTTACGAGGAAACAAGTTTTCCTCGTAAAATCGAAGTAAGTTCGTAGTAAATTTACGAGGAATTATTTTCCTAGTAAAATTTCCTAGTAACTTCTTAGTTTTCTTGTAGTGTAGATCTGTCTACTTACAGGTAGAGGATGGTTGTGATTCTTCGGTTCTTGGAGGCAACGTGTAGCAGAGTTCAACGCTGTCGGAGTTGTCAACCGTCGGAGGAGGCTTTGCGGTCTTGGACGGTGGGGCCTTACTTCCTAGCACCAGCAATGGATACATGGTTGTTCGGTGGTAAGGTCTTACACCATTTGAAGTCATGATATGGTGATCTGGTTATGTTCTTGTCTTCGTCAGGTCTGACTTTTAACAATACGGTTTTATGCCGTTTTCGGGCTTAGAAGTGAGGCAGTCAAGTCTGGTGTAGCTGGATCAAGTCGGGAATCTGCACCGGTTCGGTGATGAAGCTTTGGTCTGAGCACAACACGAATATCCTTAGGGCTGCCATGGCTTAGGGTTGATTGTTAATCTCTATTAGCTTTAGTTAATATACGGCTTATTGTTTTCACTTGCGTGGTCTAATTAGGGGTGTAAGAGGCAGTGTTCTCTAAGTCGTGGGAATGATTGTTCTCAGTGGGTAGAATTACAACAATACCGATCAGGTAGCGTAGGATTCATCTATGTGTTCTTGGATGATACTAGATCATTATGTTTGTAAATGTGGTTAAATCTCTTTGTGGTTAAATCATAAAAAAAACAAAAGTAAGAATCTTGAGTCATGTGTGATTTTTTTTTTTAAAAAAATGAATCATCACTAGAAATCATCACTAGAAATAAGTTATCATTTATTTATTATTAATAATATGCCTTATTATTTCATTCTCTAAAATCTTATTCCATTTTTTTAGTATTGTTATATGTACATATGGCAGGTGTATTGCTAAAACTAAGGAGATTTGATTCGAATACAAAATCTAAAGTAAATCTCTGTATATAAATATAACCTACTTTCAGGGTAAGACTATATATCATCATTATTAATGTTTGAAATTTATAAACTAACTAGATTTGTAAAATCTAGATTTGCATCTCTGTAAAACTATATATCACTATTATTATTATAGTAAGATATTTAAATATATATATATATATATTAAAAATACAAAAAACAAAATTTGATTATATAAAAATATATTAAAATTTTAAAAAAAAATTTCTTTCTTTTCTATTTCAAATTAAAGTTATAAAAGATAATTTAAAAGTTTTTTGGTAACAAGTTGAAGTTACGATATATGAAATAAAATAAATTAAAATTAAAATTAAAAAGTACATATTTAATGAAAACATTGAAATTTACATTTTTGTAAAGGTATTTAAATTAAATTTCCAATTTTAAAATAACAATTTACATCAAATTGGATTACATATTGATCACACATCCATTCAACTGATTATTTTCTTGGGGGTTTAGCAGTTTTTGCGGGGTTTAGAAGACATTTAAATAATGAATCTTTCTTAAAATTAAAATCAGATTACATATAGGATCACTGAGTTTACCAGTTCGAACACATGTCTATATTGGATTAAAAGTCATTTAAATACAATATTTTTTTGAAAAAAATAAAATATTTTAAAATTAACAAAACATTTGTAACATTATTGATGAAATTTTTCATCACAAATATCTCGCATTTTTATAGTGTGGGTCAATATTATTTGTTTAATATTTGATAATTCATTTTGTTGAAAAAATTAAATAATACTATATATTTAATTAATTACTTTATAATTATAATGTAAGAGGATATAATTTTATTTTTTTGCCTGACTTTAGTTTTATTTGAAATGTTACAGTATTTTTGAAATGAAAATAATTATTTATTTACTAAACCACATTTTCAAAAGTTCATGGGTTTAATAGTCGAAGAGTAATTCAACAAACTAAATTAAATACATAAAAGCAGATACAAATACATGTTAGATTTGAAATTGTTAATTTGATGAAAAACAAAAAAATGGAATCACATATTTATGATTGAAAAATCCATATACACATTTGAATATATGTGATTATAATATACAAAATAAAAACAAAATATCTATTAACAAGATAAACATTTACATCTTTGAAATATTAAAAATTACAAATAAAAATACAAAAATATAAAATTATATGAAAAAATTACTGCATCAGTTAACAAATAAAAAGACTCAGCTATTATTTCCAAATGCATGTATATGCTATTATAATGTATTATCTTACTAATTAATAGTGCGTATAATATATTTATTATATGTTTTATTGGTAAATAAAAGTTTAATTTTTTTGTTATTATTTTATAAATAAGAAAAATTATGATGTAAAATATAAAATATTAAAGTTTAATTTGAAATTAGTCTCTTAGAGAGGAACATCTTCAAATTTCAAATTTGAAGTTTTGTTAACTTAAAAAATAAGTTATTTTCGAAATGTTTAAAAGATATCATATGTAAGGAATATTGAATTTTTCTTTCATTGTTTTAAAAATTAATTTTATTAATTACTACATATTTTTATTTTAAATATAGATTTTATTCATCCAAAATATTTATAAAATTTACTTAAATTAATGTTAATATATTTTAGTACCTTCAAATAATCTTTACTAATCAAATATTATTACGCACGTTTATCAAAAAGTATTTGTTATGCATATTGCAAAAACTAATGTTCAACTTTAGAGCTATTTCATTTCATACAGATTATATCATCAATTCGGACTATAAATTTATCGAAAAAAATTGAATTTATTTATCTACTTGATTACTATTAGTATAGAATCCAATTAAAATTGGGTTTAAGTATGACTGACAACGTTGATTAAACCACGCGCTCGCCGTTCGCGTCTGTCAAAAATTATAACTTTCCGACAGGATTTAACAAAACAGATAATATCTTCTCCGCAAAGACAAAGCGAAAGCGAAGAAGATGAGAAGACATCAACCACGTGTCAAAGCATCTTTTAACCTGAGCCACATGATACAACAGAGTTCTCGACTCATCTCGCTTAATATTTAAAAAATAACAAATAGAAATTTAAATAAACTTATACTGACGTGGCTTATCTTCCTCTTGCTTTTTTAAAGTAACCCTTGACTCTGCTCATTCTATAAACTTCTCTCATCTCTCTCACCAAACTAAAAAGACCCCCTTGTTTCGCTGTCTTCTTCTTCTTCTTCGTTTTACGGTGAAACAAAGTCCGGTTTCTGGTTATCTGACGAAAATACCCACCAACGGTACTTGTTTTCGAGGTGAATCGTACAACTATCGGTAGAGTCATCTTCTTCTACAACCATGGCTATGCAGGTGTGAGATATTTCTTCTTTTGTTTTTTTATATATATATGGTCTCTTGCTTTTGATTCGATTACTATTTTATCTAGTCAAAACCTGAAATTAGGACAAAACCAAGAGAGGTGTGTTAGGTTTTTCAAAATCAAAAAGATCAAACGAATTTTGATTGTCTATGTCCGAGAGATATTGGAACTGAAAAATATTCGATTGGCGCAGGTTAATTGTGTTATAGACCAGGCGAGTTTGTGGGATGTTAAGGTGGGTTCTATGTTAAAGAGAGTCCTACTTAAATGTTATTGGGATCTAGGTAAGAGCAAGTCTCAGAACCCTAATTATTTTGATGGTCTAACTCCTGTAGATGCGTGTTAATTAGTTCTGTAGAGATTTCTAACATTTTTCGATGAGCTCTCTGTCCTATAGACTAAATGTTTTTTCTTCTGATTATAGGAACATTGTGAGAGTTTATGTGACAGAGCTTCGGATGAGCTTATTATCTCTTCCACAGATGCCTTCTGTCTGAAGGTATTAATCTGGGTTTCTAAACCTCTTGATTAGTTGTCGGTTTTTAAGATTATGTCTAAATTTGTTGTTTTTGGTTTTGCTGTTTTTCAGACAAGAAAGCCTTACACCATCACTAAACAAAGAGAGAAATGGACAGAAGCAGAGCATGAGAAGTTTGTGGAAGCTTTAAAACTCTATGGCAGAGCTTGGAGAAGAATCGAAGGTGTGTGTGTGTGCTTTATCTGACTTAAGAGAGTCTTTTGATGCACATATTAAAATACTAGGTTTTGATCTTTGTTGATTCTTAATTGTAACAGAACATGTTGGAACAAAGACTGCTGTTCAGATTCGAAGCCATGCTCAGAAGTTCTTTACTAAGGTTGCTCGTGATTGCGGTGTTACCTCTGAGAAATCCTTTGAGATCCCGCCTCCCAGATCGAAGAGAAAGCCGATGCATCCATACCCTAGAAAGCTAGTGATTCCAGATGCAAAAGAAATGGCATACGCTGAGCTAACCGGCGGCAAGCTGGTTGCAGATGAAGATAACAGATCTCCAACATCGGTTTTATCGGCTCATGGCTCAGATGGCTTAGGCTCCATTGGTTCAAATTCACCTAATTCTTCTTCAGCTGATTACCAACGTTCACTGGTATGTTTGTAGTCACAAAACACACAATCTGATTGTGTATAGTGTTAGCCGTATTCTGACATTGTTATGTTTCGACAGGTGCATGAGTTATCATCTCAAACAGAGGAATCATTGTCTCCTGAAGCAGAGACCAAACAACAAAGCCTCAAGCTGTTTGGAAAGACTTTTGTAGTTGGTGATTGCAACTTTTGGACAAGCTCTGAAAATTCAGAAGATCTTAAGAAGTTACACTCAGAAACGCAGTCTGTTCGATGTTCTTCTTCTTCCTCTTCTTCAGAAAACGCTGAAACAGAATTGACACCACCACGGGTACTAGTAGTATTGGAGGAGTTTAAAAGAAGCGAAAGATCAGCATTTTCTCTGTTGAAATCGTCTGCGATAGGGATGAAAGGGTTCATGCCATACAAAAAGAGGAAAAAGGTGGAAGAAAACATTGGCAGTGTAGTGAAAGCGTCATTTCCGTTGTGGTGAGGTGTTCTGTGTAAAGCTTTTCTCTCAAGTCAGTTTGTGAGAAAGTCTTTTGATCTCAGCTACAGATCCTGTTTATAATTAGTCTCTTGATAGTGATCTTGTTTGGGGTTTCCATTCGTAAGAAAAGTCCAAAGTTCCCAAGTATTTACTGTAACCAGTATGAAATTGATGTATCTAATAGTCAAGTTTTCTCTAAGTTAAAATCAAATATTCCGTGTACTCAGTCTCCTTTATGGTGCCTTTCCACACATTCTTAGACACAAATTCATGTTGCAATTTTATACTCTCAAAAGTACCGATTGCCGACAAATAAAACCAACAAAGGAATAACGTGTTGCACACCCAACAAATATGTACCAGCTCAATGAATATTCAAGTACATCGACAGAGGGGAAAATTCAGTAATCTATTGACACTACTAATCTATTAGCATTTTCGAGCTTGTTAAAAATTCTAGAATTCATTCGAATCATTGATATGATTATTGAATGAGAAAGAGCTCTCAATCCCTCTGTTCGTTCGTATGGGGTCACAGAAGACAATGACTTGAGCGACTGAGGACTCACTCAGTAAGGTATGAGATGCTACTCAAAAATCCATGGACCCGGACATAACACTCAGAATAAATATAATTTAATTCTAACACATGTCAAACACGGTACCTAAAATACCCAAACATCAAACAATGGTCCTAGCGAGATGTGCATTTACTGCCCACTAACAGGAAAACAACAAAACATCACTCGAGATAGTACTCGGACACCACCCGTAGACGATTTATCGACACCTCTAGGTTACGGCTCAACCGGTCGACTATAGCTGACCGTAACCTCCATACAATCCAGCATACAGCAGCACGTCCCCACGTCTTTGTATTCGTCTAAAAAAATTCTAACTAAGATTTTCATTAAGTGAGACAATCAATGTTGAATCATTTAACACCTTAGTTCCAATTTAAGCAAATAACCTAAATAACTAATCGAGAAAGACACCAATCAGACCCTAAAAGACTTAATTCACGCGGATGAAATTTATTCGAAATCCTAAACCGCGTATGATACATGCGCAAATTACCCTATGGAACAAATTACTCTCTCAAATAAGAGATCTATTGCAGTACCTAGGGATCAAATCTACAAGGAGTTAAAAAACCACTTAAATCTAATCAAGAAATAATACTAGGTGAATATTAAATGTAAAATCACAGTAAACAAGTAGAGAAAAAATAGTAAATATTCTAATTGAGCAAGAAAATTACTCGACAGAATGGAATGAGAGTTTTGAACTTAAATGGAAAGGCATTAGACTTAGGGCTTTTATTCAGGTGTTGGAGATTATAATCCCATTGGTGCTAATTAGTTGTTTGCATGGTATTAAAAAGCTTAACTAACTTAATAACAGATTTAGTAAACTCTCGTTTAATAAATAAGTCTATTGACTAAAGTGTTATTGACCCAAACAAGAGTGTCCGATCTATAAGAGTGTCGATCGATTATTTTACAGGAATACTGATTGATATTACTCGACGTTGATGATAAAGCATGTTTTTAATATTATTTAGCATCTTATCTACTTCTTTTAATCACTTTAGATTGCATTTAGTGGTCTAGATTTGCATATATATGTTCATTTGTGTGCATTAGGGTGTGAAGTGCACAATTGGAATGTTGGAGTCAATTAGAAAGGATATTTTGCAAATGAGAAACCTTTGGGGCAGAAACAAAGTTACCAAGAATTTAGGGACCAAAGCTGCAATTTATCTATATTCGGCTGGGTTAGATTGCACAATCAGAAGTTACAGATTGACTGGAGAGGACTAATCTGAAAGTTAAAAAAGATGTGGGGCAGAAACAAAACTCCATAAGAGATGAAGGATCAGACTTGCAAAAAGGGCAAAAATAGCCATTGGAGCTCACGAGAGCTTCTCTTGGCTGTAGATCGCGGCAATCCCGACGTTGACTCTTTGCGAGCACGGCCACGGTGGAGCAGAGCACGACGAAGAGCACGGCCACGACGAGAGATCCCATGGTAGAGGGCTTGGTCGCGGTGAAGTGACAGAGACGCGGTGGTGGAGTCATGGAGCTGCGACTCCGGCCATGGCTGGAGCTGCTCCTGACGGTTCCGGGAGACGACGGCAAGGATTAAGCTGAGCACGACGTTGAGCTTCAGACGGCGATGGAGATGAAGACCGAAGGGCCAGCCACCGCGGGACGAGTGAAGGCGCGGCCGTGGCTCGACGAGTGGACCAAGTGTTTACCCGGTTTAATTCGGTTTGACCGGTTTATTCTGGTTTGACCCGGTTTAATCTGGTCAAACCAACTCGAATTTTACACCTCTATATATAGTTTTAGCCCCCAAAAACCTTAATGTATCTCATTCTCATATACATGATTAGCTTTGAATCCATCATGGATTTAAGGTTTCTCATGGAGATTAAAAAGTAGACACTTTTAGAATTCATGGGTTAGGTAGATTTAATGTGATTAAGTGTAGATCTAAGTGTTTCCTTGCTAGTTGAGTGTGTTTAATGCTATTCTAGACTTGATCACTCTAGGATTGAACCTTAGTCATTTTCTGCCTACAAGGTGTATGTTTAAATGTCTGAACCAACTCTTCTTAGCTTTAGACTACCTAGCCAATGATCATTTGTATCTAGGGGTTTTAGATAGTTATTAAACCTACTCTTAATGATTGCTTGAATTAATTAAGCCAATGACCATTTGTGTTTGATTAATGAAAGCAAATGAGCATTTGCCTAGACCTAGGACTTGCTTAGCATTGTTGTTTAGACTTAAGGAACATTTTGATTGAAACTTTAATTGCTTTAAATCAATTTCCTTAATCCCATGGATTCTACCTTATCATTTGATTAAAAGTAGTTCTTGTGATTGTTTCTAGATTGAATTTGAGATCACCTTGTTTATATTTCTAGGAACTTTAGCTTGTTACAAATCATCCACCTCTCTTATTTGCTTAGCTTAGAAAAGTTTGTGTATTCTTAGTGTTTAGATCACTAGTTCTCTGTGGTTCGACAATCTAAAATACTATAATTGATTTGCTCTAAGGCTTAAAAACCCTTATCAGTCGATCAATTCCCAATGGGAATTATCGATCGATGCGGCTAGTCAAGCGTTATGCGCGAGTTAATTTATACTCATTATGGATCCCTAGATCAATCTCGCTGTATTTCTAGTAAAATCCTAGCTTAATCAGGATGTTTTCAAGATTATCAAAGTTATCTAAGGATGCTTAAACAACCTAACAATCCTAAGTTCAGGTTTCTAGTTAGCAAGTTTAGAACATAAGCATTAAGAACATCCATTAATGAATACCACAAAAAGCAATCCTATAGTTTGGGCTAATCTCACTAACCTATTTAAAACCTAATTCTAACAAATGAATTACTCAGACATGGGCCCATGGCTAAGCAATTCATAACACAAGCAAAGTAATAAAACTGCATTAATCATAGATAGATAGAAAATAATGGAGCTCCAATCACAAATCTCTCTGTTTATCTTCTCTCCCAAACTATAAATCCTAAAAACCTTTTGCTGTGAAAAGAATACAAAATGCTCTCTCTGCCTGTAACATTTTGGCAGAGTATATAAACTTAGATTAAAACTCGTTAGGGGTATAATCGTAATTTGGTGAAGTTTGGACTTCAAGTCGGCTGTCTCGTGAATTAGTCTTTCGCGCCTTCGGCATCGATCGATTATGCATAGTGCATACTGATCGATGTGAGTCACTCCGTGTCAACCTCGTTGTATTAGTCGATTCTGAGATCGAGTGATTTCTCCAATTCTCTCTAAAATACTCCAAAAAATCACTTTCTTCCAAAATACTCATGAACCTATAAATATTCTTAAATGCTTCTATAATATAATACTCCATCTGTTCCTAAAAGATAGACTTTCTAGTGTTTTCACACAAATTAAGAAAACACATTAAATCACTATCGTTTTTAGTAATTTTCAATTTTCAACAACTTTTAGCCAATAGTAATCTAATAAAACCAATTAATTTTTTTGAAACTTGTAATTTTCTCATAGAAAACATAGAATATACATCTTTTTGAAACACAATATTTTTCCAGAACATAGATATTTTAGGAACGGAGGGAGTAAATAATTATAAAAAAATCAATATACCATGACTAAAAGTGGGTCAAAATCATGGTATATCAACTCCCCTAGACTTACCTTTTTGCTTGTCCTCAAGCAAAACAATCATGCAGTCTCTCTGAAAGAGGTTTGAAAAGAGCAGGGACTCACATGTTTAAAACTTTGAAATCATAACCTCTATAATATTGCAATCCACATCTACGAAGTTTTAATCACAGAAGTTCATTATGCCATATCCTAGCTTAGCAACCAGATTCATCTATCCACCAACTTAGCAAATACTATCAGACATTCTCCTTAACTAACCTTATTTCTTAACATAAAATAAAAGTGCTGGCTTTACCTTGGGAGTATCGATCACAGGATGCAAGGACTTTCAAACAAGTATCTGGATCTGCAAGTAAATGTTAGTTCCTATCTTTTCTCTCTTCTAATTTCTCTCTTGAGTCATAATATGCTTCTAAGGCATGATTATTGACCAAGATTGGATAGGCTTTCATGAAACACGCCTTAATGGTGGTTGCCACCAAGTCCTGATCACTTCTTTTTTGACCTATATCTAAGAATTCATATGAAGTGAGCCTTAATGGTTGTAGCCACCAACTCCCATTCAAATTATTTTGTTGGAATCATTATGAATCAAGCCTTAGTGGTTGTAGCCGTCAAGTACTGTTCTGATTCCTCCTAACTAAAACCCTAATAAACTTAATATTATTTTTTGATTTTTTTTTTAATAATAAAACTATAAATCTAGTTAACTATCTAGGGTCAAAAATAAAGAGAGAAAAGGTGATAAATCTACACAAGGCTTTACCTTCCAGACTTGTTTGAAGAATCTGATCCCATGTATACCAAGCCCCAAGACAAGCAGTTGTG